AGAGACGGAGAGGTCGAGCCGCAAAACGAGGAGACAACGCCGCCTGCGTCATCCGCAAGCCCCTTCAACCCCCGTCGCAGATTCCACTCGACTGTACGCGCCCCGTACTCCCGGGAGCCGGCATGAAGTGGCCGTAAGAAAAATAGAAATAAGCCGCGGCCCCGGCGTATCTTGCCTAACGAAAAACCGGGACGGCACGAGAGAGATTGGGGAAAAACCAGGTGACGCGCTCTCAGCGGCCCCCGGATTCCCACCCCCTATCCGGACGCGAAATATGGCGCTGCCCTTATTGCCGCCCTTACACCGCGCTGACAATATTGCCTCCGAGAGCACTCTCGGGGTTTCTTGGACCGGGGCTCTCGAGGATTTTCGTCTTGGATGGGCGAGGGTTCGGGGATCGAGTGGTTTCCGGTTTGAGTTATCACGGTTTGAGAACTGTTTAACCTCTGTTTCGTGGTGGGTAGGTTTGTAATGATGTTTGAAGTTTAGGGTAGTAATGGAGGATTGTTACGGAAGTAGAATAAGGAAGCTATGGTCTAATTGTGGAGTTGGGAGTACTGTTTATATTTTCATTCGAAGAATTTTGATATAGCCGTTGTCTTGGAATAGACTAGAGACGTATGTTAGTGATAGAAACTTCCGTCTGCTTCATTTTGTAAGTTTCTTCTGCGTGGATTGAAAGTAAGGAGCACAACGGAATTCTAAGTTGCGACAAGCGAGTCGAACTTCTGCGCTCGAGGGTTGAGTTACACAATGCGGCGTCTTACAAGTCAGCCATAGCGGTCGCGCGAAGCCCAGCCTTCCGCAGCGTTCCGCGCGGACGATCAACGGTAGCGCGTTCACGGGGGAAGAGTAAAAGTAAAATTGCGGATCGTCCTCGCGGAGTGGTTTGTCGAGCGAGGCTCGACGGCTCGGCGCATTGTCGTGGCCGCGCGGCAAAACAGAGTGAGTATGCTCTTTGTATAATGACTCGGCGGTTTATGTGCTCCGCTCCGGCGCAGCTGATCGCAAGTAGACGTACTTGACCGAGTGCAGACCGAGACACTTGTAGAGCACTAATATAAACACGCCGCGAAAGAACGCCGGAGCCATTACTTTCAATTTGGACCGCATCGGAGCAGACTTACGTAACAAGAACGCGGAGGAGCCGATGCCGCTGTATACCCGCTGGCGTGCGATGGAAAGTCGTCATTCTGGCTGGCTCGCGGTGGATTCTGGTGTCCATTATGCCGGTTGTCTGTTATTATTTACTCTGATGGCGCATCCTACGCTTAGGGGATGGATATTCTGCAGGCTTACATGGACAACTTCTTCGTTTAGAAATGGCTATTGAGAATCCTACTGAATTATCCTTTCATTCAACAAATCTTAATACTAATGTCATAGGTATTTAGACGGTCCATAGAAAACTTATTCCCTTTAATTCGAATATTGCTCCGTTGTCTACAGAACCCAGGAAGATCATAGATTTCATATAAATTTCCCATTTCAAAGTACCCTACGACCCAACAGCACAACGTAATTACCCCAAATTCAGTAGGAAAAGTCGTTAACGAACAGACAACATCATCCCTATCGCTTCCCTCCGCATCCAAAAACTAAACTCAAAGTCCCACACGGAATCCCTTCCAGCAGCAAGATCCTCGGAACCATCCCCCGAACTTCCACCCCTAAAACCGCTCGAAGATGCAGCCATTATCATCGGAATCACCCTCCGGCGAGTCCTCCCGAAAATCCCGGACACCGTCGTCGGCCGTCCCTCAATTAGCATCGGCGCGTCATTTAACCCCGCTCGAACTCGATAAACTCCGTCCTCGATCGGGCATGGTTTCGGGCGAAGCGTTGACCACGGGCCGGCTGTAAGATGGATTTCAGAAAGGATATGGAGGCGGGTTAAGGAGAATCCGTAGGAGTGACTATAACCGTTCCCTATATAGGTGCCCTCGTAGCGTGGCCCCATAAGGGCACAGGATCCACGGTTCCCGTGGCAGGGGTTGGTCTCGTGGTGCGCGGTGGTGGGGCTTGGCCGGCGGTGCTGGTAGGGGAACCGAGTAAGAGGAAGCGGGACGAGGAGAGGGGCTGTCCCCGGCTCTCCGCAGCGGCTCGCAAGCCAGCCGGCGGCCTCGCCGAACCTGGAGGGAGTTGGGAACAGGCCGGAGTTGCCAGACGAGTTTCTGCCGAGGCAGGACGAGCTCACTTTCATGGCTCTCTGACAGCTTGGCCGGGTCGACGCGATTCGAGTTCGTCGGGGCTCCGCCACGAACGCAGTGCTCAGTGGGTCGTTCCTCGGGGAAAGAGGATTGCCAGTGATCAAGCTCTCGATTCCCGAAGTTTCTCTGCACCGGACACGTCAGACTGTTCTCGAAAGTGTACCGGGGACAACGTTGAAATCTCGACGTCGATACTCAAGTGTTACAGTGCTAGGCAGTAAGAGTTCGAGAGAACCGCGTAGGGGACTGCTAGAAAGCGAGCGTCGGAGAAATCGGCGAGCGCCTCTCTCGCCGCGGACAGGACAGAAGTTAGTGCACCTGCCGCAGTGGTTCCCGCGGCGCCACTCACGTGTTGCATGCGTGCCGCGTTATCCATCATGGTCGCGTACCGGGGCGAGCTCTGATTGGACGTCGCGGCGGTCACGTGGTATGGTAATCGAGGCACGGTGGGCGGGAAGGAATCGAACGAGGCCGCGGAGGTTCGCGGAGGCTCGCAAAAGTGGCGGAAGGAGAGGAGAGGATAAGCAGCTGTCCACCGGGAGTCCGCTGCTCTCCGTGGCTACTCTCTCTCTCTCTCTCTCACTCTCTTTCGCTCCTCGCTGATCTCTGTCCCACCCTTGCGATCCTCCTTTTTTCCTGCCGGTGTCCCGTCTTTCGCCCTTTCCCTCTTCGACGGGAAAAAGTCACCCCGTGGCTGACGCGTCACGGGGGAGAGGGATGTCGGCCAGGGGCCGCGGTGCAGTGCTGTGCGCGCTTCCGATACAATGAATATTAACATGGAGCGCGACTCTATGAACTAGACCGGGAGAAAGGGGTCGGAGGACAGTGTCCGAGCATCGATCGGGGTGTGTACGAGTTCCGAGCACCGCGATACGGAGGACTGTGCAGCCCGAGGCAAGGAGACCGCAAACATGAGTTCGTTCCTGATGAATCCATCCGCCGGCGGTGGATATCATCATCACCAGCACCAGCAGGCCGCCGGTGCCCACCACTTGGCGGCCACTTCCGTCATGGTGGACCCCAAGTTCCCTCCTAGCGAGGAGTACAGCCAGAGTAATTACATCCCGTCGACCGGCGCCGACTTCTTTCCGACCAGCGGCGGCGGGCATCATCTCAATCATCCCCAGTCCCATCAGCTGCAGTACGGCTACCACCAGCACCATCATCAAGCGGCGTCCACCCCGTACGGCGCCTCCTCGGCCGTACAGCTGAACGGCGGGTACGCCGGTTACGGAGGCTACTATGGGCCCCATCATCCGCACCACCAGGTCCACGCGG